CCAACATCTGCAGCATCCAACATCTGCAGCATCCAACATCTGCAGCACCCAACATCTGCAGGGTTCTTGTAGGAGCGTTCATGTAAATAATGTCACCGTGATCAATGGAGGGAATGAAAGTCACAGATACAAGGCGTTCCTCAGGGTTCAGAGTTAGACAGGATCTGTTTCTGAAAAAGAAACCCAGTTTAACTTTCAGTTTCTTTACCAAGTTTTCCACATGGAGCTTAAAAGATGGGAGTCGACCAAGATACACAAATATTTATAGGAATCAACAAACTCAATGGGGACACCATTAGAGGATAAAATCAGAGGAAGAACTGCTGGGACCAACTTCCTGTTTGAAAACAGCATCCCTTTGGTTTTGTTGGTGTTTAGAACCAGTTTAAGACAGAAGAGGATTGAGGATGCAGAGGAAACTCATTTCAACCTCCTGGATCCACGATCTCATTCTTTCAGGGTGCATTCACAGCAGCCCTGTTTAGTCGCTTTAATCCAACTCCAGCTCGTTTTCCTAGAAAGTCCGGTTCATTTAGGGAGGTGTGAACGCACCATCGAACTCTGTCACGGAACAAAAAGGTGAACTCTGGCCCGGGCTAAAACCTAGGTCTGGGTCCGGTAGAAGAGAACTCCAGCACAGTTCCAGTACAGTGTGAATGTAAACAGACCGGACCCCGCTCCACAGGACAAACAAACACACATTTCTCTTATATGGAGCCGTCAGCTGACTTGTGTGAAGAACAATATTCTCCATGGTCTTCTGTCTCATCTTCTGCTCATGCTGAGTCCATTGTTGAAAAATGACTAAATATAACTCCTAAAACTGATAAAACTTGATGCCACTTCGTTTTTATTTTTATTTACAGAAGAAGAAGAAGACGTGTCTTCAGAGGTTTTTGTGTCGTTTCTTTCAGTAGTTCTTGGTGCAGCGCCCCCACAGGTGAGGGGGGGAACAGGTTGGTTCAACAGGTTGCTTCAACAGGTTGCTTCAACAGGTTGGTTCAACAGGTTGCTTCAACAGGTTGCTTCAACAGGTTGCTTCAACAAGTTGGTTCAACTGGTTGGTTCAACAGGTTGCTTCAACAGGTTGCTTCAACAAGTTGGTTCAACAGGTTGGTTCAACAGGTTGGTTCAACAGGTTGCTTCAACAGGTTGGTTCAACTGGTTGCTTCAACAGGTTGCTTCAACAGGTTGGTTCAACTGGTTGGTTCAACAGGTTGCTTCAACAGGTTGGTTCAACTGGTTGCTTCAACAGGTTGCTTCAACAGGTTG